CAAAAGTCTCTGGTAATTCATGCTAACGTTCATATGTTATTGTCTTCTGTATCCATTGAATTTTTTTCTTTCTTTTTTCTTTTTTCTTTCTTTCTTTCTTTCTTTCTTTTCATTATAACAATCATTCTGTCCAAAAGTCTTTGGTAATTCATGCTAACGTTCATATGTTAATGTCTTCTGTATCTTGAATTTCTTTCTTTCTTTTTTTTTCTTTCTTTTTTTCTTTTCATTATAACATTCTGAAATCATTCTGTCCAAAGTCTTTTGGTAATTCATGCTAACCTTCATATGTTTAATGTCTTCTGTATCTTTTCTTTCTTTCTTTCTTTCTTTTTCTTTCTTTTGCTTTCTTTCTTTTTCTTTCTTTCTTTCTTTCTTTCTTCTTTCTTTCTTTCTTTCTTTCTTTCTTTTCATTATAACAATCCTTCTGTCCAAAAGTCTTTGGTAATTCATGCTAATGTTCATATGTTAATGTCTTCTGTATCACTTGAATTTCTTTCTTTCTTTCTTTTTCTTTCTTTCTTTCTTTCTTTTCATTATAACAATCATTCTGTCCAAAAGTCTCTGGTAATTCATGCTAATGTTCATATGTTAATGTCTTCTGTATCCTTGAATTTCTTTCTTTCTTTCTTTCTTTTCATTATTTCTTTCATTCTGTCAAAAGTCTTTTTAGTAATTCATGCTAATGTTTATGTTTGTCTTTCTTTCTTGAATTTCTTTTCTTTTCTTTCTTTCTTTCTTTCTTTCTTTCTTTCTTTCTTTCTTTTCATTATAACAATCATTCTGTCCAAAAGTCTTTGGTAATTCATGCTAATGTTCATATGTTAATGTCTTCTGTATCCTTGAATTTTTAATTTCTTTTTTCTTTCTTTCTTTTTCTTTCTTTCTTTCTTTCTTTCTTTTCATTATAACAATCATTCTGTCCAAAGTCTTTGGTAATTCATGCTAATGTTCATATGTTAATGTCTTCTGTATCACTTGAATTTCTTTCTTTCTTTCTTTTCTTTCTTTCTTTCTTTTTTCTTTCTTTTCATTATAACAATCATTCTTCAAAAAGTCTTTGGTAATTCATCTAATGTTCATATATTATGTCTTCTGTATCACTTGAATTTTTCTTTCTTTCTTTCTTTCTTCTTTTTTCTTTTCATTATTCATTCTAAGTGTTTGGTAATTCATGCTAATGTTCATATGTTAATTCTGTATCTTGAATTTCTTTTCTTTTCTTTCTTTCTTTCTTTTCTTTCTTTTAACAATTTCTGTTCTCTGGTAATTCATGCTTTCATTATAATTTCTTTTCTTTCTTTCTTTCTTTCTTTCTTTCTTTCTTTTTTCTTTTCTGTCTGTCAAAAGTCTTTTGGTAATTCATGCTAATGTTCATATGTTTGTCTTCTGTATCACTTGAATTTTTTTTCTTTTTTCTTTTCTTTCTTTCTTTCTTTTTCATTATAACAATCATTCTGTCCAAAAAGTCTCTGGTAATTCATGCTAACGTTCATATGTTATTGTCTTCTGTATCACTTGAATTTCTTTCTTTCTTTCTTTCTTTCTTTCTTTCTTTCTTTTTTCTTTTCATTATAACAATCATTCTGTCAAAAGTCTTTGGTAATTCATGCTAATGTTCATATGTTAATGTCTTCTGTATCCTCTTTGAATTTCTTTCTTTCTTTTTCTTTTCTTTCTTTTCTTTTCTTTTCATTATAACAATCATTCTGTCCAAAAGTCTTTGGTAATTCATGCTAATGTTCATATGTTAATGTCTTCTGTATCACTTGAATTTTCTTTCTTTCTTTTCTTTTCTTTTCTTTCTTTCTTTCTTTTTCTTTTCTTTTTCTTTCATATGTTAATTTTCATTATAACAATCATTTCTGTCCAAAGTCTTTGGTAATTCATGCTAACGTTCATATGTTAATGTCTTCTGTATCACTTGAATTTCTTTCTTTTTTCTTTCTTTCTTTCTTTTTTTTTCTTTCTTTCTTTTCATTATAACAATCATTCTGTCCAAAAGTCTTTGGTAATTCATGCTAATGTTCATATGTTAATGTCTTCTGTATCTTGAATTTTCTTTCTTTCTTTTCTTTTTCTTTCTTTCTTTCTTTCTTTCTTTTCATTATAACAATCATTCTGTCCAAAAGTCTTTGGTAATTCATGCTAATGTTCATATGTTAATGTCTTCTGTATCACTTGAATTTCTTTCTTTTCTTTCTTTCTTTCTTTCTTTCTTTCTTTCTTTTTTCTTTCTTTTTTCATTATTAACAATCATTCTGTCCAAAGTCTTTGGTAATTCATTCTAATGTTCATATGTTAATGTCTTCTGTATCATTTCTTGAATTTCTTTCTTTCTTTCTTTCTTTCTTTCTTTCTTTCTTTTCTTTCTTTTCATTATAACAATCATTCTGTCAAAGTCTTTGGTAATTCATGCTAATGTTCATATGTTAATGTCTTCTGTATCACTTGAATTTCTTTCTTTCTTTCTTTCTTTCTTTCTTTCTTTCTTTCTTTCTTTTTTCATTATAACAATCATTCTGTCCAAAAGTCTTTGGTAATTCATGCTAATGTTCATATGTTAATGTCTTCTGTATCCTTGAATTTCTTTCTTTCTTTTCTTTCTTTCTTTCTTTCTTTCTTTCTTTTTTTTCTTTCTTTTCATTATAACAATCATTCTGTCAAAAGTCTCTGGTAATTCATGCTAATGTTCATATGTTAATGTCTTCTGTATCACTTGAATTTCTTTCTTTCTTTCTTTCTTTCTTTCTTTCTTTCTTTCTTTCTTTCTTTCTTTTCATTATAACAATCATTCTGTTCTTTCTTTTCTTTCTTGCTCTTTTTCATATGTTAATGTCATTCTGTCAAAAATCACTTGAATTTCTTTCTTTCTTTTCTTTCTTTCTTTCTTTCTTTTTATTTTTTCTTTCTTTCTTTTCATTATAACAATCATTCTGTCAAAAGTCTTTCTGTAATTCATGCTTTCTTTCTTTCTTTCTTTCTTTCTTTCTTTCTTTCTTTCTTTCTTTCTTTCTTTCTTTCTTTCTTTTCTTTCTTTTCATTATAACAATCCTTTCTGTCCAAAAGTCTTTGGTAATTCATGCTAATGTTCATATGTTAATGTCTTCTGTATCACTTGAATTTCTTTCTTTCTTTTCTTTCTTTCTTTCTTTCTTTTTTTTCTTTTTTATAACAATCATTCTGTCCAAAAGTCTTTGGTAATTCATGCTAATGTTCATATGTTAATGTCTTCTGTATCACTTGAATTTCTTTCTTTCTTTCTTTCTTTCTTTTCATTATAACAATCATTCTGTCCAAAAGTCTTTGGTAATTCATGCTAATGTTCATATGTTAATGTCTTCTGTATCACTTGAATTTCTTTCTTTCTTTCTTTCTTTCTTTCTTTCTTTCTTTCTTTCTTTCTTTTTTTCTTTTCATTATAACAATCATTCTTTCTTTCTTTCAAAGTCTTTGGTAATTCATGCTAATGTTCATATGTTAATGTCTTCTGTATCACTTGAATTTCTTTCTTTCTTTCTTTCTTTCTTTTTCTTTCTTTTCATTTTAACAATCATTCTGTCCAAAAGTCTTTGGTAATTCATGCTAATGTTCATATGTTAATGTCTTCTGTATCCTTGAATTTCTTTTTTCTTTCTTTCTTTCTTTTTTCTTTTCATTATAACAATCATTCTGTCCAAAAGTCTCTGGTAATTCATGCTAATGTTCATATGTCTTCTGTTTCTTTCTTTCTTTCTTTCTTGAATTTCATTCTGTTTCTTTCTGCTTTCTCTTCTTTTCTTTCTTTCTTTCTTTCTTTCTTTCTTTCATTATAACAATCATTCTGTCCAAAAGTCTCTGGTAATTCATGCTAACGTTCATATGTTATTGTCTTCTGTATCACTTGAATTTCTTTTTTCTTTCTTTCTTTCTTTCTTTCTTTCTTTTCATTATAACAATCATTCTGTCCAAAGTCTCTGGTAATTCATGCTAACGTTCATATTTATTGTCTTCTGTATCACTTGAATTTCTTTCTTTCTTTCTTTCTTTCTTTCTTTCTTTTCATTATAACAATCATTCTGTCCAAAAGTCTTTGGTAATTCATGCTAATGTTCATATGTTAATGTCTTCTGTATCCTTGAATTTCTTTCTTTCTTTCTTTCTTTCTTTCTTTCTTTCTTTTCTTTTTTTTCTTTTTCATTCTTTCAAAAGTCTTTGGTAATTCATGCTGTTCATATGTTAATGTCTTCTGTATCACTTGAATTTCTTTCTTTCTTTCTTTCTTTCTTTTTTCTTTCTTTTCATTATAACAATCATTCTGTCCAAAAGTCTTTGGTAATTCATGCTAATGTTCATATGTTATTGTCTTCTGTATCACTTGAATTTCTTTTTTTCTTTCTTTCTTTCTTTCTTTCTTTCTTTTCATTATAACAATCATTCTGTCCAAAAGTCTTTGGTAATTCATGCTAATGTTCATATGTTAATGTCTTCTGTATCACTTGAATTTCTTTCTTTCTTTCTTTCTTTCTTTCTTTCTTTCTTTCTTTCTTTTCATTATAACAATCATTCTGTCCAAAGTCTCTGGTAATTCATGCTAATGTTCATATGTTAATGTCTTCTGTATCACTTGAATTTCTTTCTTTCTTTTTCTTTCTTTCTTTCTTTTTTTCTTTCTTTTTGGTAATTTTTCTTTCTTTCTTTTCTTTCTTTCTTTCTTTCATTATAACAATCATTCTGTCAAAAGTCTTTGGTAATTCATGCTAACGTTCATATGTTAATGTCTTCTGTATCACTTGAATTTCTTTCTTTCTTTCTTTCTTTCTTTCTTTCTTTCTTTTCTTTCTTTTTTCATTATAACAATCATTCTGTCAAAAAGTCTTTGGTAATTCATGCTAATGTTCATATGTTAATGTCTTCTGTATCACTTGAATTTCTTTCTTTCTTTCTTTCTTTCTTTCTTTCTTTCTTTCTTTTCATTTAACAATCATTTCTGTCCAAGTCTTTGGTAATTCATGCTAATGTTCATATGTTAATGTCTTCTGTATCTTGAATTTCTTTCTTTCTTTCTTTCTTTCTTTCTTTCTTTCTTTTTTCTTTCTTTCTTTTTCATTATAACAATCATTCTGTCAAAGTCTCTGGTCTTTCATGCTAACGTTCATATTTTATTGTCTTCTGTATCTTTTTGAATTTCTTTCTTTCTTTTCTTTCTTTCTTTTTTTTTCTTTCTTTCTTTCTTTCTTTCTTTCTTTTTCTTTTTCATTATAACAATCATTCTGTCCAAAAGTCTTTGGTAATTCATGCTAATGTTCATATGTTATGTCTTCTGTATCACTTGAATTTCTTTCTTTTCTTTTTTCTTTCTTTCTTTCTTTCTTTCTTTCTTTCTTTTCATTATAACAATCATTCTGTCCAAAAGTCTCTGGTAATTCATGCTAACGTTCATATGTTATTGTCTTCTGTATCACTTGAATTTCTTTCTTTCTTTCTTTCTTTCTTTCTTTCTTTCTTTCTTTTCATTATAACAATCATTCTGTCCAAAAGTCTCTGGTAATTCATGCTAATGTTCATATGTTAATGTCTTCTGTATCACTTGAATTTCTTTCTTTCTTTCTTTCTTTCTTTCTTTCTTTCTTTTCATTATAACAATCATTCTGTCCAAAAATCTCTGGTAATTCATGCTAACGTTCATATGTTATTGTCTTCTGTATCACTTGAATTTCTTTCTTTCTTTCTTTCTTTCTTTCTTTCTTTCTTTCTTTCTTTCTTTCTTTTCATTATAACAATCATTCTGTCCAAAAGTCTTTGGTAATTCATGCTAACGTTCATATGTTAATGTCTTCTGTATCACTTGAATTTCTTTCTTTCTTTCTTTCTTTCTTTCTTTCTTTCTTTTTCTTTTCATTATCATTCATTCTGTCCAAAAGTCTTTGGTAATTCATGCTAACCTTCATATGTTATGTCTTCTTATAGAATTTCTTTCTTTATTTCTTTCTTTCTTTCTTTCTTTCTTTCTTTCTTTCTTTCTTTTTCTTTCTTTCTTTTTTCTTTCTTTCTTTCTTTTTCTTTTTCTTTCTTTCTTTCTTTTTCATTTCTTTCTTTCTTTCTTTCTTTCTTTCTTTCTTTTCATTATAATAATCCTTCTGACCAAAAGTCTTTGGTAATTCATGCTAATGTTCATATGTTAATGTCTTCTGTATCACTTGAATTTCTTTCTTTCTTTCTTTCTTTCTTTCTTTTCATTATAACAATCATTCTGTCCAAAAGTCTTTGGTAATTCATGCTAATGTTCATATGTTAATGTCTTCTGTATCACTTGAATTTCTTTCTTTCTTTCTTTCTTTCTTTCTTTCTTTCTTTCTTTCTTTTCATTATAACAATCATTCTGTCCAAAAGTCTTTGGTAATTCATGCTAATGTTCATATCATTATTGTCTTCTGTGTCACTTTAATTTCTTTCTTTCTTTCTTTCTTTCTTTCTTTCTTTCTTTCTTTCTTTTCATTATAACAATCATTCTGTCCAAAAGTCTTTGGTAATTCATGCTAACGTTCATATGTTAATGTCTTCTGTATCACTTGAATTTCTTTTCTTTCTTTTCTTTCTTTCTTTCTTTCTTTTCATTATAACAATCATTCTGTCCAAAAGTCTTTGGTAATTCATGCTAACGTTCATATGTTAATGTCTTCTGTATCACTTGAATTTCTTTCTTTCTTTCTTTCTTTCTTTCTTTCTTTCTTTCTTTTCATTATAACAATCATTCTGTCCAAAAGTCTTTGGTAATTCATGCTAATGTTCATATGTTAATGTCTTCTGTATCACTTGAATTTCTTTCTTTCTTTCTTTCTTTTTTCTTTCTTTCTTTTCTTTCTTTTTTTTTCTTTCTTTCTTTTCATTATAACAATCATTCTGTCAAAAGTCTTTGGTAATTCATGCTAATGTTCATATGTTAATGTCTTCTGTATCCTTGAATTTCTTTCTTTCTTTCTTTCTTTCTTTCTTTCTTTCTTTTTTTTTCATTATAACAATCATTCTGTCCAAAAGTCTTTGGTAATTCATGCTAATGTTCATATGTTAATGTCTTCTGTATCACTTGAATTTCTTTCTTTTCTTTCTTTCTTTCTTTCTTTCTTTTCATTATAACAATCATTCTGTCCAAAAGTCTCTGGTAATTCATGCTAACGTTCATATGTTATTGTCTTCTGTATCACTTGAATTTCTTTCTTTCTTTCTTTCTTTCTTTCTTTCTTTCTTTCTTTCTTTCTTTTCATTATAACAATCATTCTGTCCAAAAGTCTTTGGTAATTCATGCTAATGTTCATATGTTAATGTCTTCTGTATCACTTGAATTTCTTTCTTTCTTTCTTTCTTTCTTTCTTTCTTTTCATTATAACAATCATTCTGTCCAAAAGTCTTTGGTAATTCATGCTAATGTTCATATGTTAATGTCTTCTGTATCACTTGAATTTCTTTCTTTCTTTCTTTCTTTCTTTCTTTCTTTCTTTTCATTATAACAATCATTCTGTCCAAAAGTCTCTGGTAATTCATGCTAACGTTCATATGTTATTGTCTTCTGTATCACTTGAATTTCTTTCTTTCTTTCTTTCTTTCTTTTCTTTCTTTCTTTCTTTCTTTTCATTATAACAATCATTCTGTCAAAAGTCTTTGGTAATTCATGCTAATGTTCATATGTTAATGTCTTCTGTATCTTGAATTTCTTTCTTTCTTTTCTTTCTTTCTTTCTTTCTTTCTTTCTTTCTTTTTTTCATTATAACAATCATTGTGTCCAAAAGTCTTTGGTAATTCATGCTAATGTTCATATGTTAATGTCTTCTGTATCCTTGAATTTCTTTCTTTCTTTCTTTCTTTCTTTCTTTCTTTCTTTTTCATTATAACAATCATTCTGTCCAAAAGTCTTTGGTAATTCATGCTAATGTTCATATGTTAATGTCTTCTGTATCACTTGAATTTCTTTCTTTCTTTCTTTCTTTCTTTCTTTCTTGCTTTCTTTCTTTCTTTCTTTCTTTCTTTTCATTATAACAATCATTCTGTCCAAAAGTCTTTGGTAATTCATGCTAATGTTCATATGTTATTGTCTTCTGTATCACTTGAATTTCTTTCTTTCTTTCTTTCTTTCTTTCTTTCTTTCTTTCTTTTCATTATAACAATCATTCTGTCCAAAAGTCTCTGGTAATTCATGCTAATGTTCATATGTTAATGTCTTCTGTATCACTTGAATTTCTTTCTTTCTTTCTTTCTTTCTTTCTTTCTTTCTTTTCATTATAACACTCATTCTGTCCAAAAGTCTCTGATAATTCATGCTAATGTTCATATGTTATTGTCTTCTGTATCACTTGAATTTCTTTCTTTCTTTCTTTCTTTCTTTCTGTCTTTCTTTCTTTTCATTATAACAATCATTCTGTCCAAAAGTCTCTGGTAATTCATGCTAATGTTCATATGTTATTGTCTTCTGTATCACTTGAATTTCTTTCTTTCTTTCTTTCTTTTTTCTTTTTTTTTCTTTTTCATTATAACAATCATTCTGTCCAAAGTCTCTGATAATTCATGCTAACGTTCATATGTTAATGTCTTCTGTATCACTTGAATATCTTTCTTTCTTTCTTTCTTTCTTTCTTTCTTTCTTTCTTTTCATTATAACAATCATTCTGTCCAAAAGTCTTTGGTAATTCATGCTAATGTTCATATGTTAATGTCTTCTGTATCACTTGAATTTCTTTCTTTCTTTTCTTTCTTTCTTTCTTTCTTTCTTTCTTTCTTTCTTTTCATTATAACAATCATTCTGTCCAAAAGTCTCTGATAATTCATGCTAACGTTCATATGTTAATGTCTTCTGTATCACTTGAATATCTTTCTTTCTTTCTTTCTTTCTTTCTTTTCATTATAATAATCATTCTGTCCAAAAGTCTTTGGTAATTCATGCTAATGTTCATATGTTAATGTCTTCTGTATCACTTGAATTTCTTTCTTTCTTTCTTTCTTTTCATTATAACAATCATTCTGTCCAAAAGTCTTTAGTATTTCATGCTAATGTTCATATGTTAATGTCTTCTGTATCACTTGAATTTCTTTCTTTCTTTCTTTCTTTCTTTCTTTCTCTCTTTTCATTATAATAATCCTTCTGTCCAGAAGCCTATGGTAATTCATGCTGATGTTCAGATATTTTCATCTTGTTCACTTGAATATTCCCTTTCTTTCTTATTTTCACTCTTTCTTTCTTCCTTTCTTTCTTTCTTTCTTTCTTTATTTATTTATTTATTTATTTTTATCTTTGTTTTTACCTTTTCTTTTGTATCCCACTCTCTTCATCTTTCCTTTTCTGTTTTCTCTTCTTTTGTTTCTTTCTCTTTTGCTTCTTTGTCAATTATCGTTTTACTTCTTACTGTCATTATAATTATATCTTCCACAGTCTTTGATGTTTATTGTAACTTTACTGTGATAATATGCAAATTAGATAGTATATAAGTTCAAAGGTTTCTACACTTGGGGGTGGAGTTATCTTTCCTTGGCTGCACTGTGTACTTGGGAGAATTTTACATGACACAACAACATGGCATCGACAATAGGATATCTACCCTTGTTAGAGGATCCTGAGCTTGTTGAGACATGGATGAGATGTTTTGCAATGTTGATGTGAGTCAAGAAAGTAACTGACAGCAAATAAAGAGGATGAGTAAATGAAGTAACAGATTTATTTGTAGCATCAGCGGGTTGTAAAGCCGTAAAAAAGATCTCTGTAATGGTATATCTGAAGATGCTAGAAGACTTGATATTTGAAGAAATTGTCAACATCGTACAAACAAATGTACGTCCAAAAAAGAAATTTGTCATAACTGAGAGGACAAAGTTTCTTGAAAAACCCAGATGAAACCATTAGACAGTACATTCACAAGATAAAAGAAGCATTGAGGTACTGTGAATTCAAAAAGTTAGAGTATGGGACTGATGTCTATAGAAGAAGAATTAATACAATTGAGACTAATTGAAGGACTGTATGACATCTCAAGTAAGTACAAAATTTTGGGACAGCCAGTCCAGAACATGAATATTGAATTGAGTTTTGAATTTTTACAGCTGCTAAAATCTGTGTACCTAAGACATTGATGTCGAATGAGGCACCAGAGTTTGCTGAAGAAAGCTTGTATACATGGTTAATATAAATTGGATGTAAGCCATACAAATCACCTCCATAGAATCCTCCATAGAATCCTCAGTCAAATGGAATTGTAGAGAGGATGGTCCAGACAATATAGGTTGGACTGAAAGCATTCTCTCCAGAGAATTGCAGCCTAGAAAGTTATCTACCAAGTTGCTTTTAAATTACAGGACCATTTCACATGTGGTCAGAACACAAAGACCCTTGACATTGATAGGAAGGCAAATTAGAGCCCTAATAACTATGTCCTTCTTAGCAAATGAGAATGTATGCTACAAAAGGAATAAGGATTTGGATTCTGAGAAAGCACAATTTGCAGTGCAAAAAGAATTTAATACAGCTGTATTAACAAAAAATGGACAGAGTGTGCTAGCTCATGAAGACCAATTTAGATTGTGAAGAGTGCTGGAAGATATTGAAATGGAGGAAGAGCCTAGTGCAGAAGAGATTATCACCAAGAATTGAAGAGTGAAGGAGAAAGGATGTGTCTAGTGATAATGAGGAACATTCAAATGAAGAAAATCCACTAAGACCGAGATGTCCAAGAAGAATCTAGGCAATCACCATGAGACAAGCAGTAAACCTTCTGGAGTGATTTGTAAAAGTAACAGATCTACCAAGGACATAAAACCTCTAAGGTTCTGGGAGATGTGGTGATATGCAAATTAGATGGTATATAAGTGGGAGTTATCTTTCCTTGACTACACTGGGTATTTGAGAGAACTATACACAACACAACATTTAGCCTAAAACTTTTCTAGATCAACTGCTTACAAAATTTGCTTGTGTCTACAGTCTCTGATTTTACCTTTCTAATATATTCAGCTAACTGTATATAAGCACGGATGTAGGCACAAACACTGGAAAATGGTCCTTGGCAAAAAAACTGTCACCTTTCGCATTCTGTCTCTCTTAGCTTTCATAGGTTTTCTTCCCTCCCCCATCTCTGACTCTTTTTTGGATTACATTTTATTCATGACTAAAATGTATAATTCTGATTCACTTCTTTCAATCTATGTTTGCATAGAAAGATTTTTCTTTTCTTATATGCCATCTCTTCAGGACATGTGCATCATGGCTTTCCACAATATCTGTCTATATTTCTGAGATGAGGTATTATGTATACTATTTACATTATTTGGACTATTGTCCTCATCTTTGTTGCCATAGTTATTACCCTTCAGTATCTGTCTATATTTCTGAGATGAGGTATTATGTACACTATTTACATTATTCGGACTATTGTCCTCATCTTTGTTGCCATAGTTATTACCCTTCAGTATCTGTCTATATTTCTGAGATGAGGTATTATGTATACTATTTACATTATTTGGAC